ACTAGTCCGTGCTTTCGCTCATATCTCCGCCATCCTCATTAGCAAATGATAGTCCTCAAAAGATAAATCATTGCCTTGTTGGCGAGGGATGGGGGGTGTTTTAGCGTTTTGATCTTATTCCTATGGAAGAAATGGGAGTGGTACGTAACCCTAAATTTGTTTTCTTGTCACTGTTCCGTGTAATATCTCAAAAAAGAGCCAATATATTTTCGACTGTATTTGGTTGGAAATAGTTCTCTGCCCCTACTGTCAATTCAACAGCAATAAATAAAACACCGCCAGCCAGACGAAAAGCTGACCAAATGGTAAGAAATTACTTGTCAGTAAATTTAATAATGCTTAATTTATCACACAATGGGCTTAAAACCGGACTATTTTGCAGAAAAATTACTGTATTTTTTTTTAAATAGATAAAAATTGTAGCTACTACAAAACTATTGAGAACCTGTGTTTTTGTTATTGTTTTTTCTTAAATTATTTTGTGGAATATTTTTGCTGGCTTTTTTTATTTTCTCGTCCAGAAAAACTGGGGTGATACAAATCAATTTTTGATACAAAATTTTTCATATATGCATACCGAGTTCGCGTTCTGTTTTTTTTTCACTCACACAAAGTCTTGCCAGAATTTTGACATAATTTTTTTTAAATGAAAAAAAGAACAAGTTGGACGCAGTCAAATGAGAGGTTCGCTATATTTGAAAAAAAAATAGGAATGCACTATTTTGCGACTGCCGTTGTTGGCTTACTGTATTTTTCTAAAAGTACCGTTTCTGTGGATTTAATTGTTGATTATTCTGCAATATAGAAGAGCTATCAGTAAGTACTAACAGTACTGTCAGTAGCGAGCCGGGGGGATTGGTGGCAACGCCCCTTTTCCCTTCATTTCTGGTTTTTCAAATTTTTAAACGGTCGTCATCTGGTTATATTTAACATCGATTTTTGTCGATCAACTCTAAAATTATTTTAATACGCTTGAGGCGCCAATATACACTAAAATTATTTTAATACGCTTGAGGCGCCAATATACACTAAAATTAATGTGAAGCGCGCCCAAAAACGCAAAATTTTCTCAATAATACTTTCCCAAAGTATCCTAAAACGCCATTTTTGCCCTGTTTATTGAATATTTGTCTGCGGTGCAAATATTTTTTGGCAAAATACGGTCTTTTTACGTTTTTAGGGAAGCTCAGAAAATCAATTAAGTCCCTAAACAAAAAAGGTCAACATAATTTTCAATTTGTTTTTTGAAAAACCGCTCCTTCACGAAAAATTCATTCAGACCTGTCTAAGGATAGTCGGTTTTTTTATCCATTTTTATTGTTTTTATTTGATCAATTTTTTTTATTTGGAACAAGTTTGACGACATTGCTCCCACGAGAATGTTTTTTCCTAAACAGTATGTTATGGGGTTCGGCAGAAGTAAAAAAAATCAAAATATCGGATCGAAAATGAACTTTATCAAAATCTCCTGCGTTGGCTAGTACGCCCAAAAGAAAATAACTTTCCATTATTGTTTTTATTGTTAGCGACATAAAATGAACAGTTTCGATTTACTGACATGACATTTCACAGAGCTACATACCATATTTTTGTTCGACTTTACAATATGGGCCGCACTCCGTTTATTATCAGACCAACCTGAACCAAAATCCTATCCGGTGAACAGCTCTGTTTATCTTGTTTATTACCACAAGAGAAGTTTATTCTCCACTTCAAAAACAAAAAACCAAGCCAGCCTTATTTTGCCAGCTTTTTACAATTTGCTGAAATTACGTATTTTCCTGTCATTGTAGTTAATCCTATTTTGTCAAAGGATTACATGAAATTCCATTCAGTTTACGATTTTATTTCTGGATTATTATTTGGGAAATCGAAGGCTTTTCAGGGTTTAAATCTTAATTTTGTCGTCATTTCACACTTGTTTACTTTGAGGGTTTTCTGTAGCTAACAGTCTCTGGTGATTTCAAGATTTTCCTACCTGAAGTCACCAAGGAAATATTCTTTTGAAACATAACAAAAGAGTTAGCGGTTTGTAAACAATGTCATAATTAACAGCACGGTGTGGTTATTTTCCAACAATATATTTTCTCTGTATGAATAAACTCTAAAAAATCAGTTATTCTGATCGATCAGTTATTTTTACGCAACATTTGAAAAAAACTTATTTACCATTTATGCAAAAACGCGTTACTTACTTTATGTAAAAATTGCATTCGAACGTCACGAAAAAAATAAGCTGTCAAGACTGAATCTTAAATCTACAAGAGCATTAACTTTTTAATTAAATAGTCGTTCAATCAATAATTGAACATTTATTTTCGTATCAGTGTATTTTTGTGTTGCATTCGAATTTTGTTGGTTCGTCATTATTTTGGTTAAACATACCGCGCTAAGTTAAGCTTACTATTTTGAGGCGAAAAAGTTATTTCATTTTTTTTCATCTTCAAAATTTGAAACATAAGTTATATATTCATTTAAATTTGATTATTCTCATATCAATGGATAAAAGTACTTACAGATACGAGTTCGCAATTTTACGATTCCGAGCTTTGTTTGGAACAGAATCATTCGACGAAGTCACATTTGCCGCCAAATGTCAGCAATGTATTTTCGGCAGTTTCAACAAAGAACGCAGTTTCTTCGAAACGGTTAAAAAGATCAAAATATTACCTGAAAATCCAACCCAAATAGACTACGTTTCGATTAAACTACCAGGGCAACGACGAGCGTTGAACTTCGATATCGGCTTTCAACCCATCGGCTATTCGAACGACCAAGTCAGATACTTTCGCATAGTGGTAGCTGCTCAAATGGACGACAGTGTCACATCGTCGAATAAAAGCAAAGAATTCTGTGAAAACAATGGCCTAATAATCATAAACAATTTATTTTCGTTTGCCCAAATGGGCTACGATGAGTCGCAGGGCTGCGCAGAGACCGACATTATTAATTTCCTGAAAGCTAATCTGAAGTCTTATGGTAACTGAATATCTCCAAATAAAAAATCATATTGCTATCAAGTCTGGAGTTCTTCATTTAAAAACTGAAACAAATACCTAATTATGTAAAACTTTCTAGTCACATGCTCAAAAAAATATCTTCTGCGTTGCAAATTCTATTCAAATATATTTAATTAAAGTTTTTTTTTCAAAGAGATAGTGTAGCCGCTCGTAACATGAGTCGCACAAAGCCGCAACATGAGTCGTGCAAAATCGCGAAATGAGTCACACAAGGTCGCAACCTGAGTCGCGCAAAGTCGCACCATGAGTCGAGCAAAATCGTAAAATGAGTCGGGCAGGGTCGCAACATGAGTCGCGCTAAGTGGCAACATGAGTCGCGCAAAATCGCAACATGAATCGTACAAAATTGTAAAATAAGTCGTACAAGGTTGCAACATGAGTCGCGCAAATTCGCAACATGGCTGGCGCAAATTGGCCGCAAGTGTCGCGAAAACTCGGAACCTGAGTCGCGCAAAGTCGCAACATGAGTCGAGCAAAATCGTAAAACGAGTCGGGCAGGGTCGCAACATGAGTCGCGCTAAGTGGCAACATGAGTCGCGCAAAATCGCAACATGAATCGTGCAAAATTGTAAAATAAGTCGTACAAGGTTGCAACATGAGTCGCGCAAATTCGCAACATGGCTGGCGAAAATTGGCCGCAAGTGTCGCGAAAACTCAGAACCTGAGTCGCGCAAAGTCGCAACATGAGTCGAGCAAAAACGCAAAATGAGTCGGGCAAGGTCGCAACATGAGTCGCGCTAAGTGGCAACCTGAGTCGCGCAAGATCGCAAAATGAGTCGCGCAAATTCACAACAATGGTCGCGCAAAATTGCCCCATAGCTGCAATGGTTTGCAAAAAATCGCAAGATAGTTCGCGTAAAGTCGCAACATGGGTGACGCAAAGTCGCAACGTAGGACGCGCAAAGTCGCATCATGGGTTGCGCAAAGTCGCCCCATAGCTAAAATGGTTCGCATACAGTCACAACATGAATAGCGCAAAATCGCAGCATAAGTCATGCAAAATCGCAAAATGAATCGCACTGAATTCTGAAAATTTTTTGTCCGACTAGTTAGCAAACAGTTTTTTTTTCTTCATTTTTTGTTTAATGTTTATTTTTGAAGTCAAATGTTGTCGATCATACCTAGTTCTTCAATATTCACAGCGATTTTATAGTTCTCGAATCACGCCACTCACTAAAAACGACTCTAAATTGAGGTTGGCTTCAAAAGAAAAAACAATTTTTTTCTAACTTTTTTATGAAGATGGTCGCAGCATTCTGTGGCATTTGCAGAGCAACTGGCTATCCTTGTTTTAATTTACAGTTAGCTAGCTAAGCATAAATAGTGGTCAAACAGAGGACCGGTAGAAGGCCCACGAGAAGGCCTACGCATGTTCGTAAAGTAGTTAAGCCAATTTTATCGATAGAGACAAATTTTTTCTAGGAATCAGAACCAAGACGAATATGGTTTTTTATTAACACTTTCGACCCTCAACCAGCTGTGTCAGGACGAAAAAAAAACAATGTTAAACTTACAAATCTGACTTTTTCGGGTGTAATACTTGTCTATCAATCACCCAAAACTATTTCCAGCTTGGTTCATAATGAATTCAATTTTCTTAACGTCTGCGTTACTCTTAGTCTGGAATTAACGAATAAGTCTGGGACAGCAAAGGCTGTCATCGAATCTGACAAGGACCTATTTTTTTTCAAATAACGAAAACTCGGTTGCAAATAAAATTGTTGGCCAATTATTTGTTTGAATCTCTTTTGTCTACTTAACTGTCACGCCTTGGAACCAATTTTTTAAGCTGCGCCCAATAAGTAAATTTAATAAGCTTGACTACCTATTTATTTTTTTTGTTTCGCTTGAAAACTCTTTCCGGCCATAAATGTTTGGGGTTTCGGCCTATTGTTATTGGCTTAGTCACCCAATTTTGGTTAATTTCAAGGAAAAACAATTCTTACGCTCCACTACGCACTTTTTAGGTTGGTTGTTGTTATACCACTCGATTTGTTCAAATTTCATTTTTTTCCAGTTTCCTTTTCGCTGATTAGGTTTAGGCTTGTTTTATATCGGCTTAATTGATTTCTTTTAAGTCGTTTGATGCGTGATTTTTTTTGCGCTGTGTGATTGTTACGAGGGAAAGGAGGACGTAAACATTTTACTTACTTTTGAATTTAAAAAAATTTGTGTTGAAGAATTACTGCTCAGGTAATTTCGGTTTTATCAGCGTTTAGTTAAAGTTGTTCCGATGCTGACTTTATTTTCCATTGTTTTGACATGCTTTGTTGAAATCTGCTTCATTCATCTTGATAGATCTAGTTGTATCGCAAGTGGTGCGAAGCTCAGCTTCGCCTCTGTGTAACAAAAGTGATCCAAAAATAACAGGTTCTTTCCATATGCAAAAAAAAACAGTTATTTTGCATTTTTTCTATAAATCAAAGTTGAGAGCAGCAAACCCGTTGATTTTAAAATACTCATAGGTAAGATGAAAAAACGAAAGTGCATCGCTAAATTTAATTCTGAAACTCTAAAAAAAATCCGACCCGTTTTTTTTTAAATTTAATGAAAGTTTGCTGTAAAATTTGCATGCCATCCGAATCAAGAATGCGAAGTTTGTAACGAAAACACGCCAAACCGCGACCCATGTCCAGACTTTCGCGACCAAGTTTTGGTATGTCTAGACTTTCGCGGTCCACGGCGCGACTCATGTTCAGACTTTCCAGACTCAAATTCTCGGGCGCAACTATGCAACATGGGTCTAAATCCGGATGTGGCGCGACCCCTAAAGTCTGGACATGAGTCTGGGACCTCGACCCGGGAAACTACAGTTCTGGAAAGGTTTGACAAAAATAATGTGTTATTTGTGACAAGCCCTATATCGTAAACCCGTTACTGTCCATAAGAACTTTTTTCGAGGTAGGCAAAGACGTGCAGAAAAACCGTGCTGCGCCATAAAGTTCATTACAATTTTTTTCACATTTGACGGGACAATGAAGTTATGACAAGATTTTTGTTTCCATCTGAATGAAAATTTTTCTCATACTTTTGTTACTTTCTTTTCACCACTCCACGTCACGGTCTGAGTTTTTTAATATATGATTAATCAAAATGATCAAAAAATCTAAGACATCAAAGCTTTTTAAACAATTTGTTCTTATCACATTTTTAGCCACTTATTTCAATTAGAACTCGTTTAGCAGATGTTTATGGATTGAGTAGCTATAGCATGCGTGCCTACTAGCAGTTAGAATAATTGTTTTGATTTACCTTTGTACCACCTTAAGAAAGTGAAACCTTGCTACGCTCAACTACGCTTACAATCAGAACTCAGATGCTAGAAAAATGACCTGAAAAGTCAGGATGATCTCTTGTTAAATAAAAGCGGTCGGTTGCTGTGCAACTAGAATAGAACGTTCAACTCATAGTTTTTGCACTGTTTTTAGGACAGTGACGTTCTTTTTTAATTTTTCGAGTTTCTTACGTTAGAGTTTTTTAGCCCCTCCAAAACGGCAAAACCTGCAACAAATTTTGCCCATCAGAAAATCGATTCTGGGAGATTATGCAGTTTCTTGTAGAGCTCTAATGGAAAAATGAACGTTTGAAGAGCCTCAATCCCCCCCCCCCCTCCCCTTCACAGCCAAAAAATCAAAACAGTGCTAAGTTGGGATTTTTTGGAAATAAATAGCAAAGTCGTTACTTCCCCGTTGCATCCTTATTTTGAACAGCCAAACCAAAAACTATATAAGTACAAAACAACTAAGAATTTTTTGTAATTCAAAATAAAAATATTGAAATCACCTTCAAGGTCTTCTTTCAGTTACGGGTATTTTTGTAAATTTCAATAGATTTCAATTAAGGTTCATAGCTTTCAAAGAATGTTGATAAATCAGAGCAATATGAATTTGCCATTTCGTCTTTTAGACCAATGATTACGTGTTCAAAATATGCATCGAAAATGTGAACTTTACAGTTCTCAGAATTAACAAAATTGGCCGCCACCTTTTTTCTTGATTTTTTTGTTGTTCATTTTTGGTTTTACAAAAAGTTTTACACAATCGAAACACCGTTGGCTTAATTACCAATTCATTTTAAGCACCTGCAATTGATCATGATGGTTTCAGAGTGAACGTCCGTGGTTTTTTTTCAAAAAAAGCCCTCAACCATTCCAATAGCTATTTTTTTAAAGTTAGATTCGGTCAAAAACAAAATTTCAGTTGAGTCTGTTAGGGTAAGTTAGAATCAGCTTGCGAGAAACTTATATGTATATATCAGAGTTTGTTTCCATCTCTTGATTTTTAGCTGATTATATGAGTTGCCTTCGATGAGCCCTCTTACAGCAAGTTTAAATGAGCCCTCTTACAGCAAGTTTTTTTTAAAGTTATCTTCGTACTTAATTTTTTCAGAAAAACTTGCCGTTTCATTACTATGACTAAACGATCTATTTTCCCTTTATGAAACATTGAATGAGCACTCGGTGTAGCCGCTTTTTATCTGCTTCAACACAAAAATTAAGACATGAGGGCGCAACACATCAGTGCCGAAGTACAACAGTGCCGAAAATGAAAAAGTGTTCAACAGTGCCGAAAATTTGATGATTTTCGGCACTGCTGAACAATAATTTATTTTCGGCGCTGTTGTACTTCGGCACTGTTGTGCTGCCCTTAAGCGTTCAACAGTGCCGAAGAACAAGAGTGCCGGAAATGTAATTATTGTTCAACAATGCCGATAATTATCAATTTTCGGCACTATTGAACACTTTTTCATTGTTGGCACTGCTGAACGCCCTTGACCTGAGTTAGAGAAATTATAAAGGTTCAATTCTGATTAATTTAGCAAATGACTGAAAATTGTTCAATAAACGCTAAGGTTTGGTATCCTTCAAGTGTCTAGTCGTTTTTTTTTTCAAATTGAAAAACCGTTGTCTTGTTGCCAGAATGACCAGACATGGCGTTTTTTTGCAGTTCCAGGTAGAAAACAGCAAAAATTCAAAAAATA